ATTCAAGCCTCAAGTTGCAGTACTGAAGGATTCTGTAAGCCAAATACTAAAGGATGCAGGAAACATCAAAAGATGATGAATAACACAGAGTTATTGTACTAAAAAGAATTGGTTGATGTTCAACCACTTCATGAGGCATATGGACAAGAACCAGTGGTACTGAAGGAAGAAGTTGAAGCTGCACTGAAAGAATTGTCAAAAAAAAAAAAAAAAAAGGTTCCAGGAATTACAAAATACCCATTGAGATGTTTCAACAAACAGATACAGCATTGGAGTCACTCACTCATTTACACCAAGAAATTTGGAAGACAGCTACCTGGCCAACCAACTGGAAGAAATCCATATTTGTGACCATTCCAAAGAAAAGTGATCCGACAGAATGTGGAAACTATCAAACAACATCATTATCACACGCAAGTAAAAATTTTGCAAAGATAATTCAAAAATGGCTGCAGCGGCATACTGACAGGGATCTGCCAGAAATTCAAGCCAGATTCAGAAAAGGGCATGGAAGGCAGGATTACTGATATCAGATGGATGCTGGCTGGAAGCAAATACCTAAAAGATGTTTACCTATGTTTTATTGACTATGCCAAGGTATCCAACTGTATGGATCATAACAAATTATGGATGACACTATAAAGAATGGGAATTCCAGAACATTTCATTGTGCTCAAAAGGAACCTGTACATAGACCAAGAAGTAGTTGTTCAAACAGAACAAGGGGATATGGAATACTTTAAAACCAGGAAAGCTGTGTGTGAGGGTTGTATTGATTCACCATACTTATTCAATCTGTATGCTAAACAATTAATCTGAAAAGCTGGAATACATGTAGAAGAATGTAACATCAGGATTGGAGAAAGACTCATTAACAACCTGCAATATAGAATGGTACACTATGCGATCCACAGCCTAAACGACTATGAGACCAGAAGAACTAGATGGTGCCTGGCTACCACTGTCAACCACTCAGAGGGGGAGATCCTGGATAGAGATGGAGAACAATGTAGAACAAAACTCAAAATCATTTGGAGTAAAAAAAAAGGGGGGGGGGTGACCAGTTTTGCTGGTCTGATACCACACCCGTGGCTTCCAGCCAAACAAAAGACAGGCATAGGAGTTGAACACTACCTGAGGTAGATTACACTCCTTGGAGAGAACAATCATGGGAGAAAAAAGGGCTGTTTATGCATAGGGAGACAGCTCAGGGGGCAAGGGTGCATGGAAGGATGGACACAGGGAAGAGGTGACTGTCAGGAAGAAATGGAAGTAGAGCTGTTGCATTGTGGTGAATTGAGGTCAATGTCATGAGACAAAGTGTATGTGAACTGCTATATGGAAAGTGAATTTGCTCTGTAAATTTTCACCCAAATCACAATTAAAATTAAAAAAAACCCCTGCAATATAGAAATGACACAACCTTGCTTGCTGAAACTGAAGATGACCTGAAGCACTGATGAAGATCACAGACTACAGCCTTCAATATGTATTACATCCAAACATAAAGAAAATTAAAATTCTCACAACTGAACCAATAAGCAACATCATGAGAAACAGAGGAAAGATTGAAGTTGTCAGAGATTTCATTTTACTTGGATCCACAATCAATGGCCATGGAACCAGCAGTAAAGAAATCAGATGTATTGCACTGGGCAAATCTGCTTCAAAAAGATCTCTTTCAAATGTTAAAGAGCAAAGACTTTGAAAACCTGTGTGCCTGACCCACGCTGTGGTATTTTCACTTACTTCATATGCACGCAAAAGCTGGAAAATGAGTAAGGAAGACCCAAGAGGAGTTGATGCATTTGAATTGTGGTTTGGTAAAGAATACCAAAATACCATGGGCTGCCGGAAGAATGAACAAATCTGTCTTGGAAGAAGTACAACCAGAATGCTCCTTAGAAGTAAGAATGGCGAGACGTCACCTCATGTACTTTGGTCATGTTGTCAGAAGGCACCAGTCTTTGGAAAAGGATATCATGTCTGGTAAAGTAGAGGGTAAGTGAAAAAGGGAAAAGCCGTCAATGAGACACAGTGTCTGCAACGATAGGCTCAAGCAGAGCAAAGATTAAAGATGGCACAAGATCGGGCAGTGTTTTGTTCTGTTACACATAGGGTCGCTATGAGTCAGAGCCAACTCATTCACACCTTATAACAACACAAAATGGCAATAAAATAGTAGTGATCTCATAGGGTCGTGGTAAGGCAGAAAAGAAGCAACTCATAGAAACCGTTTATTTAGCACATAGTAAAAGGTGTACTGTTTTGTTACCTCTGTGCTGCTCTAATAGAAAATTACCATAAATGGGTGGCTTTAACAAACAGGAGTTTATTCTCTTACAGTTTCAGAGGTTAGAAGTCCGAGTTCAAAGTGCCAGGCTCTAGGGGCTGGGTGAAAGCCCTCTTACCTTGGGTTTCAACTGTGCCTCTGGCTTCTGGCCCACTGAAGCTGGAGGCTTTCTTCACTCAGGCAGCTGCTGGCTGCTGAGGGTGACAAATCCAAGGACAACAAGTAAAAGGGCACAGTACCAATGTTAACAAACCACAAGGCAGGCCATTAATTCAAGTCCCTTGAAAGTCCCAAGATCAGCAGAGCATGGCAGGCTACCGAATGAAGACTTGGCTATATGCGAGGTTCAAGTGTGCCAAAAAGCTAGAGACCTTCCTCAAAGCTGCATCTTATATAATGGAAGGAGACCACGTCTCTAAAGCAGCGACTCAGCTACTCCAGTAGAGTCCCCCACGGAATTGATTGCCAATCTCTCCATGCAGAATAACTACATCCATCTGCCCAGCCACTCAACCAGGCCCAGCCAAGCTGACAACAACCTTAACTACCACATGTACTGAGCAACAAACTTTTGCGTAAGACTGACCACTTGCCAAGCATTATTCTAAGCACTTTACATATACTGACTCTCTGAGTCCTCACAACTCTGACTGAGGTATATTCTACTATTTTCTCCACTTTATAGGTGGAACAGTAGCTCTGGTGGCACTGTGGTAAGGTTTTTCACTGCTAACCAAAAAGTCGGCAGTTTGAACCCACCAGCTGCTCCACCAGAGAAAGATGATGCAGTCTGTTTCCATAAATATTTACAGCCTTGGAAACCGTATGGGGGTCATGATGATTTGGACTTTATAGGTGAGAAACTGAACCAGAGAGGTTAAGAACACGTTCAAAGTAAGCCAGCTGCTAAGTGCTGGGATATGAATACAGCCAGTCTGGCTCGAGTTTTACCCTTACCCCTTGCATTATATACCACCTGCTGAATTAAAAAGCCCGCTTAGAAAGAAAAAAATGATAGGGACGGGCAGGGCTAGCAAACTCAAATAGTCTGAGAGGTTAGGATTCACTCTAATATCTCATAGCCAATCTTTCTCCCCCTCCCACCCCTCAATTTAAGAAACATTGAGAATCCTTTGTAAAACTTTTTAAAATTCATGCTTAGTGGATTTTACGTTTGATGTCACCTTCTGAAAGTTGTTACTATCGGTCTTATGGAGCAAAGCAGACAGGGGCAAAAGAAAACTGGATATGTGTGTCTTCAGAAGTCACATGAGCAGCACCGTGTGCCTGAGTCACTTTGGGGGAGAGAAGGGGAGAAAAGGGGAGAGGAGAGAGAGAGAGAGGGAGGGAGGGAGGGAGAGAGAGAGAGAGAAACTTCTGACTAGTACTAACACTTGGCTTTGATCGTTTGATAGTGGAACCCCACACACAAGGGAAAGGGTGATGGAAGGCTGAATGAACTGGACCAGAGTGAGCGCGCCTTGCTTGTCACCAGAGGAAAACCGTTGACATCGTCCCCCTCGCCTGCCTCCAGCCCCCGACATAGGTCACCTGTAGGGGTTGGAGTCCACCACTTCCGGGCTCATCTTCTTGATGCGGGCCCGGCTGCCTCCTCCGTCGCCACCCCCTAAGGCCCGCCGACTTTTCTCCTGAGCCAGTTCCAGCTCCAATTCCTGTACCCTCTGCCGCAGCCGCTCCACAGACTCAGCCATGGCTGGGACTCCAGCCGCCAACGCTCCTAGCCCCGGCCTTCGCCGCCGCCGCCGCCGCCGCCCCACGCTGCTAGGTCGGCTGGGCCCACGATGAGTAAACTGAGGAGGCACCTAGCTGCTGCCTTCTACGAGAGCCCTGGGTACCTCCAGCACCTCACAGACAGACACGTCTCCTCTGCTCCAGCGGACCTCCCACAGTGCTGCTTCCGGTGCGCCGCTGTCATTGCTCCCGCTCAGCAGAAGTTCGCCCCCTTTCAGCTTTCTTCTTTGTCCTGTTCTGCAAGATAAAGCCTGAGCAGAGCCCTGGCCCTAAATGTTTAGGGCACAGCCCTGCGGGATGGACTTTCTTAACTGTGTGGCGAAGAGAGACATCGGGAGCTTTTATTCTTCGGTTTCAAGTTCTGACGGGCCCTTTTCTGAACCGGACACTACAAATCTTCCGCCTGCCGGTGCATTAAATTTAGGTATTCGCCAGGAGCTCTGGTGGCGTAGTGCCTAAGGCATTTCACTGCTAACCAGAAGCCTGGCGGTTCAAACCCACCAGCCTCTCCTCAGAAGGAAGGTTGGGCAATCTGCTTCCGTAGTGATACTGCCTCGGAAACCCAAGGAGTCAGATCCAACTCGAGGGTAGTGGGTTTTATTCGTCTGTAACGACAGCTGGGGCTTTGCTTTATTTAAAATTGAGACCTCCAACTCTGAAGCTAACTGAAAATTTTAAATCCTATTACGCCTGTCATTTCCCCACGGATGGAAATCACAGGTCTAGCTGGTCAGTGTTGCTCAGCAACAGCGGCCTAGGTGTTTGTGATTGGCTGGAGCTGCTAGCCCCGCCCCCAGCCCAGCTGCTGGGCTACTCTGACCCCCTAGTCCCGCCCTGCTGCCTCGCCCCTCCACCCTTGCCTCTTGGCTGTATAGTGGTGTTCGGTAGGCCAGAAAGTTCTGGGCACTCCAGACCAGCGGATTCCACGCATATGCGGCCTCCGTCTGTGGTGATCATGGAGGCCTGTGCCTCCCGGGAGCCTGAGACGGCCGAAGTGCTGTCCCAGCACAAGTTCGACCGCAAGTCCCTGGAGGACTACCTGAGCCAGCACTTGCCAGGCTTTGCGGCTGAGCCGGGGACCACGCTGTCAGTTGCTCAATACAGGTATGGACTCTGGCCTTCGACTCCAGCAGAAAACAAATCTGTGCAGTGTGCTTTTCTTCCTTTGGCCCTAGGTGGGTTCCTAAATTCCTCCATCCCGATTTCTTCTTCTGCGGTGGAGAACTGCCATTTCTGATCCCTCTGTATTCATTCTTAGGCATTCCCAATTCGAGGGCTATACTGGAAGTCCGTTAACATTCACGATTAGTATATGAGACCAAACCAAAACCAAACTCACTGCCTTCCAGTCGATTCCCCTCGTAGGGACCCCTCCTTGGGTTTCCGAGGCGGTCTCTCTACAGAAGTAGATTACCCAATCTTCGTTCTGAGGAGTGGCTAGTGGATTTGAACCACCAGCCTTCTGGTTAGCAGTCAGATACATGCCTTAGGCACTACGCCACAAGAGGTCCTAGTATATGAGAAGGAATCTTTAATAATGGATGGAATTATGTGCCTCAAGGGTTTACTGAGGCCTTAATAGGCACGGAAATAAATAAAGAGGCCACCTCTCGACTTTAAGGAGTTCTGATGGCGTTGTGGCTAAAGCATTGGGCTTGCTAACCAAAAGTTTCGCAGGCCCTCCACGGAAGAAAGAGGTAGTCTACTTCCTTAAGGATTTGTTGTTGTTGTTGTTATGTGCCGTCCAGTCGCCCCGACTCATAGCGACCCCTCCTTGGGTTTCCTGGCAGTATCACTACGGAAGTAGATTGCCCCTTCTTCTTGGAAACCGTATGAGGTAGCTCTACACTATCAAATAGTGTCGCTATGAGTCGGAATGGACATCAGGCAGTGGGTTTGGTCTTTTAGCTTTTATGCTCCAACCATTAGATCTTTTTTTCTGAGAACCAAACCAAACCGAACCCACTGCTGGTCAGGTGGATTCTGCCTCACAGCTACCCTATAGGACAGAGTAAAACTGCCCCACAGGGTTTCCAAGACTGTACATCTTTAAGGAAGCAGCCTGCCACATCTTTCTCCTGCAAAGCAGCTGGTGGGTTCGAAGTGCCAACTTTTGTTAGCTGTGGAGCGCTTTATCCACTATGCCACCAGCGCTCCTTTTTCAGAGAAGCTGATGTAATTACATTAAAATTGATAGTATTCCTGGAGGCTGTTAATGACACTAGGTGGAAGATTGGAATTCTAATTCTAATCCTAGCTTTTCCACTCAGCAAATCACACAACTTTGCACCTCAGGGTTTTTTTGTTTACTTTTGTTTTAAATGAGAAAATGGAACCAGATGAGAGAATCCTGAGAGAACCGCTCCCTGTTGTGAATCTGATTCTAGTCTGGTATTTTGTAATAGAAAATAAATAAAAATAAACTTTATTGTAAAAATAGAATTTTGATAAACTCAATGTTATACAAAGAGTCTTGACTTCTGAAACAGAAAACTGGATCTCTCCCTTATGGCTAGGTGTTAAAATATATGTTACGTAACTCTTTGAGAACTCATGTCGTAATCTGTGATACCTGCCCTTTCTGATTAGTCAGATGACTAAAGGACGTAATGTGAGTAAAAGGGCGTAAACATTTGTAATAGCACTGTGTTTTATTACAGTGGCATTTTATTGCTAGCATTTATATTCCTTGGCTACTGATTTCAGTGAAAATGAAAAATAATAAAGGAGAGAGCTTCTGGGTGTAGAATTAAAAGTCATCATGTCCCAATAGATATTGGGGATGAAAAAAAAGATGAAATAAAGGATAGCTGAGGTTTCTAGCATAGAGGATTTGTGTTGTCAACAAAGCATATCAAAGTTCAAATTCCAGCTATTCCACTTGTTATGGGAATCTGGACAAGTTATTTAACCCACTTGAGCATCAAGTTCCACTTCAGTTAAATGGAGACAGTAATATTCATCTCCTAGAGAAACTTGGTACACAATGCAAGGAAACTTGGTGGCACAATGGTTAAGCACTCCACTTACAAATTCTTCATATTTCATCACAATTAAGTGCCAAACAATAGCTGCTTCCATACATAATAAGGAGAATGAATCGGGTCTTTCTTGAATCACTGTTGTATGCGGAGGGTTTCTGAGTTTCTGTAGAGACAGAAATGAGCATTCTGTTGTGCAGTTTGTGATCATTAAGGTTAGGAATATGCATAAAGCATTTTGAACATTGGGGAATATTTTATTTTATTTTTATTGTATTGTATCTTCTATTACAGAATCATACATGCCCACATGAGTATGATGTGTTTTTCTTGTATCTGTACACGTAGTTCTTATGTAAGAATGAAATTGTCACACTTTTCACAAAGGTTTGTATTTGGGTTATCGGGATAAGCCTGCACTAGCTTCTTGGATGCCTTAATGCCTACTTCATCAGGTATATCCACACTGTTTAAGAAGAAAAATCTATTTGAAAGTACTTCATACACTTTCACCCTTCTTTTCATGCAAGATTCAAGTGTGTCAATGATTTGGCGTGTGTGGTAACACAGAATTGATCTCTGGCACTCAGTGATACTTCTGGAGCACTTCTGTCAGTTATTTGTTTCTAATATTTCTGTGATGGTGAACTGTTCAGTAATCAGTATTTGACAATATTCTGTTGTGTTTTCAAAATACTCTCTTAAATTATGCAAATACCCAATTAATAACTGGTAGACATCTATACATGTCTAAATTTATTCTGAATCTTGGAGAACTTGACTCATCTGATCAAAATTCTACAATATATTATTCCACATAACCAACATAAATACATACTCTAATGTTTGCATTTTGTTGACAATGTTTTCACCTTCTCTTTTAGTATCTCCTTTTTGCATCTAGCCTTCATCAATATTTTCTAAAGCATCTAGAATCTGGGTGTACGATTCCAGGAGTGCACTCATTGCTACAGCATGCACTTCCTAACAGCAATTACTAGAAAGACATTTTAATACTTGATCATTGCCTAAATACATTTTAAGAACTGCCCACTGGTGAGTAGAGGTAGCAAAAATGTACAGAGTAACTAAACAGTAGGAAAAAATCAACAGCTTTCAGACAACAATCTGCTGCACTGTGTCCTACAAGATTAAGTGAATGTGTAGCATATGGTATCAAAAGGGCATATTCATTACGTTCTAAAATTTTCTGTTGCATACCTTTATATAAATAAAGGGATAAAAGCCTTGAACCCGGACAGAAGAGCAGTCAGCCCCAGGGTTACAGGTGAGGAGGTGAGGAGAGACCACGCAGGGACGCCCAGAGTAGCAGGCCGGAAGAGCAGGAGAAAGGGGATAAAAGCCTTGAACCCGGACAGAAGAGCAGTCAGCCCCAGGCTTACAGGTGAGGAGAGACGACTCAGGGACGCCCAGAGTAGCAGGCCGGAAGAGCAGGAGAAACGAGATAAAATCCAGGAATCCAGAGAGAAGAGCAATCAGTCGAAGGGATTAGGTGAGGAAGGGAAACTCAGGCCCGCCCAGAGTAGCAGGCCGGAAGAACAGGAGAAAGGGGATAAAAGCCTTGAACCCGGACAGAAGACCAGTCAGCCCCAGGGTTATAGGTGAGGAGAGACAATGCAGGGATGCCCAGAGTAGCAGGCCGGAAGAGCAGGAGAAAGGGGATAAAAGCCTTGAACCCGGACAGAAGAGCAGTCATCCCCAGGGTTATAGGTGAGGAGAGACAACGCAGGGACACCCAGAGTAGCAGGTGGCAGGCCGGAACAACAGGAGAAAGGGGATAAAAGCCAGGAAGCCAGAGAGAAGACCAATCAGCCGAAGGGATTAGGTGAGGAGGGGAAACTCAGGCCCACCCAGAGTAGCAGGCCGGAAGAGCAGGAGAAAGGGGATAAAAGCCAGGAAGCCAGAGAGAAGAGCAATCAGCTTGAAGGGATTAGGTGAGGAGAGGAAACTCAGGCCGGCCCAGAGTAGCAGGCCAGAAGAACAGGAGAAAGGGGATAAAAGCTTTGAACCTGGACAGAAGACCAGTCAGCCCCAGGAATACAGGTGAGGAGAGACAACTCAGGGATGCCCAAAGGAGCAGGCCAGAAGAGCAGGAGAAAGGGGATTAAAAGCCAAGAAGCCAGACAGAGGAACAGTCAGCCACAGGGACCAAGGTGGGGGTGATACGAGAGGTCTCCAACAGCAGGACACACTTGTCTGTCGGTTTGTCCTACTGTGGTGACATGTAGACGTGAGTTTTGAGGCTGAGCCTCTGGTGTTTAAAACCCAGCGAGATGCACCTGGTACA